AATGTTTAGACAAATATCTGGTCACCCATGGCCTATCACTTTGACACATAAAATTAAGCCTCAAAAATCCACCCTTTGTCAACTTGGCATCCATATCCATTGCCTTAAACCATATTTAATCTCCAAATAAATATAATAATAAGATAATACTTCCCTCTACCTTTCACATAATTCACCATTCAGCGAAACCATTGTCCACAGCCAATGAGTCAGCATATAAACACACATCTGGCCATTTCTCCTTTTATGCAAAGTGAACAATCAGGTGCAGTGCTCAAAATTCTGCCTTTTTGGCAAATTTCCTTTTGCCACTGTCCTTCAGGGATGTCCCAGAGAAGGGATATAATGCCAAAACCGTCCACTTTAAGTGAGTACTTGTATATCATGCAGAACCATTTGTAAAACAGTCTCTATTTTTATATCCTCTAGCAGCTGATTATAGGGAACTCTCCATTAAGCCATAGATGTGGGCTAGGAGAGAAAAGACTGTAGCAGGGATGGAATCATGATCATTTGGGCCACTTCATGTTACTTATGTGTGCCTTCAGGGCCTGCTCAGGCCAATCATTTATATGATTTCCATTTGATAATGGAATGCTGCTGTGCTTGGTGGGTCAGATAACAGCCAGTTCATGATGGGAAGCTAAGTTTGAAAGGTAACTTGTTGAGCCATAGTTAAGCAGTCAGTGTCTATTAAGACCTAGTAGCAGGTCAAGAGGTTTTTTCCAAAAGGAAGAGTAGTTATCCACAGAGTATGGCAAGCTTTGCTCTGAAATCCTGAGGATCTGTGCCATAATTCACCTATAGGAGCCTGCTAAAGGTTCCTAACAGTATCCCTATCTGCCACTGACACTTCAAAGACCATTGGGTATATTGGATCATACGACCCAAGTGGCAGAGCAGCTTTCACAGAAGCATGGACCTGTTGCAACCCCTTATCTTCTGAGCTCCACCCAAATCTAGCAGTTTTTCTCAGATTATTGTTCAATGAGCCAGAGTAAGATACCTAAATGGGGAACCATGATGCCCTCAAAATCCAAAGAAGCCCACCAGGCATTGTACCCCCTTTTTGGTTGTAGGAGGGGCCATATACAACAATTTATCCTTTAGTGTCTTGGGTTTGGACAACTATAACAAAATATCATAGACTTAGTGTCTTATAAACAACATAGATTTATTTCCCACAGTTCTGGAGGCTGAGAAGTCCAAGATCAAGGTGCTAGCAAATTCAATGTCTATTGAGACCTGCTTTCTGGTTCACAGTCAGCCATTTTCTTTCTGTGTCCACACACAGTGGAAGGCACAAGGGAGTTATCTGAGGTCTCCCTTATAAAGACATTAATCTCATTTATGAGGATCCACCCTCCACGACCTAATCACCTCCCAATGACCTCACCTCCAAATACCGTCACACTGAAGATTAAGTTTCAACATTTGAATGGGGGAGGGTCAAAACATTGTCTATAGTATTCACCTTAAAAAGAATATCTCAACATGACCCATACTCCACCACCATAGATATTTACTGAGGTAGAATGATTGAAATCTTGTCACATTTATTTCCCACCCTCTGACAAGCAAATGTCTTACCATTAATTCAATAGTAGATGCTAATTCTTTATAACTATGTCCAATAAGCAAAATGTCATCAATGTAATGGGTGAGTGTGATATCCTGTTGGAGGAGAAGGAGATCAAGATCTCCATAAACTAAATTATGACATAAGGCTAGAGAGTTGCTATAGTCCTCCAAATAGGACGTAAAGGTATATGACTGGTCTTCTCAGCTGAAAGCAAACTGCTTCTGGTAGACTATCTATAAAAAGCTATTTGACAAATCAGTAGCTGAAAACCAGGTACCAGGGGATGTATTAATTTCCTCAAGCAATAAAACCACATCTGGTACTGCAGCTGCAACTGGAGTCACCACCTGGTAAAGTTTATAATAACCCACTGTTATTCTCCAAGTTCCATCTGACTTTTGCACATGCCAAATAAGATAACTGAATGGGGATGTGGTGGGAACTTCCACCCCTGCATCTTTCAGGTCTCCAAGTCTTTCAAGTTTTGGCACTTATCTCTGCAACTTTTTCAGGGAATGTGGTATTGTTTAGGGTTTACAGTTTTGCTAGGTAGAGTCAGTTCTAATGGCTTCCATTTGGCTTAATCCACCATAACAGCCCTTATTCCACAGATCAGGGAACCAATGTAGGGATTTGGCCAGCTGTTGAGTATATCTATTCCAATTATGTATCCTGTGGGACTAAAACCACAGCATGGGGTTGGGGACCCTTTGAGCCCACTGTGAGATCTGAGCTAAAATTTCACAAATCATCTGACCTTAATGAATCCCTACTCTGAATGGTTAACTATAGTGATGTTTTGGGTGTTCTCAAACTAGTGTCCTTTGACAGCCAAGGTCTGGTAGTCCCTAAAAGGTCGGTTATTTCTTTTCCCACTATACAGTTACTCTGGTACAAAACAATTGGTGCCTTTGGAGAAGGCAGGGAAAAAGAGTAATTATAAAATTTTGGCAGTATATTGGAGTTCTTCCTCAAGAGGGCCTGGCTTCTCCTTTATTCAAAGAGTTCTGGGTTTGTGAACTGGCTCAAGACTGGGAAGTGATTAAGGATCCATGACTCTTTTTATGATCCAACTTAGACTTTTTTCACTTCACCTAGAACTGTTCTACTTATACAGATGAAATAAGAATCTTAAGAGACTCAACTACAGGGAACAAACTGAGGGTTTCTGAAGATGAGATGGGTGGGAGGATAGGGTAATTGGGTGATGGGCATTACGGAGGACACTTGATGTAATGAGCACTGAGTGTTATATGCAACTGATGAATCACTAAATTCTACCCCTGAAACTAATAATACACCATATGTTAACTAAATTGAATTTAAATAAAAAATTAAAAATAAATACATAATTTAATTTAAAAAAATTAAAAAAAAAAGAATTTAAAGGCTTATCTATTTCACTTCCATAATCACCGTGGTCAATTATCCAATAACATAGGTCTACATGAATCAGACTATTCTGACTGCTGCTCTGATTCTACTGTTCATTACAACTACCACACTCACCTTACCTTTAGTGGCTGAGTGCTGCTGCTTGGGTCCTGCCACCTGACATACACTTACTTAGTATATTTAGATTTGCTAATTTAGTGACTGTGGTCCCATGAAAAAGTCTTGCTTACATAGACGAGCAATTACAGAACTCTTTAAGGATGCTGGGGCTCCCCTCAGAAATTTATTTCTCAAAGTTGTGGTGAAAGGTATATCTTCTGAACCTTCCCTGCGTTGGTGAATAGGTCTTAAATGACATACCCACTCTAACATCCCAATCTCCCTGAGCCTTAGAATCCTTTCCTCTACATTAAAACAAGGCAGGTATGGCTTTTCTAATTCACTCATTGTGGGCCGCTTTTTATCTATGTTTCAGCCAATCAAACAAACTGTTAAATCACTTCCTAACTCCCTGAGCTACAATATTAAATGTAGAATTTCTGCTTGGTGAGCCCATCTCAATTTTTTTTTTTTCTGAGCCAACATTAAGTTTGTTCCATCATTATTCCACACCTTTCAATTTTCCTATCCATTCTCATACATGTCCCTGAGATCTGTCTGTATAAATTAGAAAACTCAAATAGTTCTTTTTCACATCTTAAATGTTATCACCACAAAAGATACATATATATTATATATATTTATGTATATATAATATAAATAATTATACATACATAACCCACAATTTCATGGATCACAATTTGTACCTCAACTTTAGGGACCTGTTGGAACTTGAGTCTAGTTAAAGGTCTAGAAGTTGAGATAAGCGGTAGGGGTGGGTCCTGAGAAAAATGAGCAATCTATTGCAGGGTAACTGCCTCAGGGATGCTATTACAATTTCCTCAAACAATGCAAGGCTAATCCCCTCAGATTATGGTGGAGACACCATTCTCAATGTGGTTGAGGAGTCCTCTTCCACTAGCAAAGAAGAGTATTCAAAACTTAGGGGCTCAGTGTCTAGCTAATTAATAGTAATTTTGAAGAATTCATTATTCTTTTTTTTAAGATTTTACTTATCCATTTGACAGAGAGAGACACAGTGAGAGAGGGAACACAAGCAGGGGGAGTGGGAGAGGGAGGAGCAGGCTTCCTGCCGAGTAGAGAGCCCCATGCGGGGCTTGATCCCAGGACCCTGGGACCATGACCTGAGCTGAAGGCAGACGCTTAACGACTGAGCCACCCAGGCGCCCCAAGAATTCATTATTCTTATTCACATCAAAGAGGTGGGAAGAAAATCTGAATCTGGTTACAAGTTACTTTGAATAATAGTATTAATAATTTTGTAAGCAATATTTTTCTTCCCATGTGCCATTTATTTTGCCCTAAAGTAAAAGATACATGTTATTTTAATAGTTACAAATAATTTTTTAGGGGTGCCTTGGTGGCTCAGTCATTAAGCATCTGCCTTTGCCTCAGGTCATGATACCAGGGTCCTGAGATCGAGCCCCACACCGAGCTCCCTGCTCAGGGGGAAGCCTGCTTCTCCCTCTCCCACTCCCCCTGCTTGTGTTCCCTCTCTCGCTGTGTCTCTCTCTGTCAATAAATAAATAAAAAGTCTTTAAAAAACAAAAAAATAAATAATTTTTTAAAAAAAGAAATGCTATTTTCAGATACAAATTTGAGAAGGTGGTGAATGAATATTCGTTCATTAGTACATTTGCAAACCTGAGACTTTTTTTGGAATTGATATTGTTCACATAGGCCTTCTTTTTGAGAATGATTTTATAAATGTACACAAGCAAATGAAAAATATTCAGGTGCTCACATGAATAGAATTGCAAATTTAACTAATTTTATGAAAGCTGAAACTAAACATATGTGCTATAGTGTAGAAAATTGACTTTTTTTCCAGATTTGATATAATTGACATATAACATTGTATAAGTTTAAGGTATACAATGTGGTAATCTGATACACTTATACATTACAAAATGAGTATCACAATAAGATTAATTAACACATTCATCACCTGACATAATTATGTATATTTATGTATAATTATATATGTATAATTACTTATATTATACATATAAATATATATCATATATATATCTTTTGTGGTGATAACATTTAAGATCTACTCTTTTCACAACTTTTATGAATATAATACAGTATTGTTAACTATAGTCATTATGCTGTATATGAGATTCCCAGAATTTATTCATCTCATAACTGGAAGTTTGTATCCTTTGTCCAACCAACATCATTCCATTTACCCTACCTCCAACCCGCGGATATCACCATTCTACTTTGTTTCTGAGTTTGGCTTTTTTTTTTTTTTTTTTTGATTCCACATATAAGGGAAATCGTATAGTATTTATCTTTCTCTGTATGGTTTATCACACATAGCATAATATCCTCAAAGTCCATCCATATTATCACAAATAGCAGAATTTTCTTATGACTGAATAATATCCAATTATATATATATTTATATTTACATATATTTATATTTATCACTTTTTCTTTATTCATCCAATGGACACTTAGGTTCTTTCTAGGTCTGCCTATTGTGAATAATGCTGCAATGAGCATGGGGCTACAGATATCTCTTTGAGGTCCTGGTTTCATTTTCTACAGATATATACTCAGAATTGGAATTGCTTGATCATATGGTAGCTCTAATTTTTTTATTTAAAAAAAAAAACAAAAAAACAACCCCATACTGTTTTCCATAGTGGTTGTACCAGAAACTTGACTTTTTAATAAAAAAAAAAGTTCAGAAGTGTGGCAGTAGACATTTTTCTCATGCTAAAATGCCTTTGACATTGTCTTCTTATAGGTCTATTTCCAAAAGATAAAATTCAAGTTAAAATTAAGTTCAAGACTTCTGTCTGATATTTTATACTGCACAGATACTTATATTTAAAATATTTTTTAAAGATCAGTTTTATGGATTGGGACAACAACTTAACCACTCACATGTTCATATATTGCTTATAGTTACCTACTTTTGAGAAGAGGGCGATAATATAGAAATATCATTTATATATCAGTGAATGAATTAAGTGCTGTAGTGCTCTAGTGACTGACTGGAGTCAAACAGAAATCTAGGTTTCCCTCCAGTAATTTCAAAGACTCCATTATATTTTCCATGTTATAAATCCTTTTAGGATTTATTTTAAAAATCCAAATTTAGATTAGATTTAGAGAAATTAATTTTGGTCACTATGCAGATGCTTGTTTAATCAGAAGAAAACAAAGAAATAATAATTTAGTTTTGTCATAAAGCAGGAAGAACCTTTAAAAAAAGCAGAGGTCTTGTCCAAATATAAATTATGCTAGTGATTTAGCTTCTCCTGATCATCTGATTATACTGGACATCTCAGTCACAGTTCAGTATCATCCTATTGCTACTTTTATCTCTCTGACACTTCCCTGTAGTTAGGTTAACTATAAATAGATGAATGAACTTGGACTTAAAGATTTGTGTGATTGAAATGATAGCATTACAGATGATTGTGTATTTTTCAGCCACCTGAAAGAGAAGTTAGACAGATACTAATACAGTCAACATATTCTCTCCCTGTTCTTTCAATAATCAACATCTATAATTTCTCACATGTATCACATATTTCTCAGTAAAAATAACCAGCATTTGAGAGCTTACTATGTGTCAAATGTGGTTCTGGGTGCTTTTATGGATTACCTCCTTTAATCATCACAACAGCCCGATGAGTAAGTACTATTACTACCTACTTTTTAGAGATTATTAAATTGAGACCTAAAGAGTTAAATAACTTACCCAAAGTTATGCAGATAGTAAGCTGTGAAACAGTTATGTATATGAATGATCTTGTTTCAGAATCTTTACTCTTAATTGCTAACCTATATCATTCCCAAATGCTATTGTTCTTTTTCCTTTTCTTTTTCCACATAAAAGTGCTTTGTTGAATTCAATTGTAGACTGACATATACAGAAAATGCTGTGAAAGGAGTGATAGCTTCAGGCCATGGGGAGCTATTAGTAGCCTCCATAACCTTATATGATCTCTGAAATTGCTTGGAAAGTCATCAGTGAGCCAGTGGTGAAAATAATGATGAACATAATAATCAGAAAGAGGCCTAAACCAGGGCCCAGATGTTCAGACACTTGGTGGTGGAGGCATAGGCCTGGGCCCCAATCATGTCATCCACCATCTTCCAGTCCCTAGAATTCATGGAGTAGGCCAATGCCACAAAGCCCAGGCGGCCCAAGTTTGTGAAGATTGTGTTGAACAGGGACCAGATGACGTAGTTGGGCATAGACGTCTCACTGTGGATGTTGATCATGGTGGTTGTCAAAGGAGCCCAGCTCTGGTGTGCCCCAAGTACAGCCATCTCATGCTCCTCCTTGAGCATCTCATAGGTTGGGGGGATTTGGGTGTAGGCACCAGGGAAGAAGAGCTGGGAATTGGGGTTCATGGTGTGAGATGGAGCAACTGTTATTTTTTTTCTTTAAGTAGCTTTCTAAGCAGACCAAATTTCATTAATTGATGAATAGTCCAATGTTTTAATCCTTTAGGATTATGTTAAATCTTTACTTTATTCCCAACAATCATTCATTTTCATAGAAAAAGGACTAGCAAAACATGAGTAAAGTAAAAGTGGAAGTTTCCCCATAATCTCACCAATGCTACTGAGTTAAATTCTCTGGATTTCATTTTCTCCATCTAAATCTTGAAGTAATGCCTGATTACTTCTATCACTACTTTATTATTAATCAAATCAACTTAATATTAGTGAATATTGATTTGGAATAATATTTCAAGTATGTTTGGAATTTTAATAAATACTATCTTTTAATTCCTTCACACAACACACACACACACACACAAACTGACACACAATTGTCAATTATGTATTATTAAATAGTTTTCAGATGAGGAAATTGAGGCACAAAGGTTATAAATTACACCAAGTAACATAACAAGAAAAGGCAAAGTGGGGGTTAAACTGATGTCTTCTGACACCCCAAAATATATACTTTCTAACACATTTTACCCAATACAAATTGAAGCTAGCAATTGAGAAACACTATAGACCTGAAAAACATACTTATTATGTGGTGGATGATGATGAAAGAATAGTGTCCTATATAACTCCATTTTGGTTATAGAAGAAAAATTATTGAGGAATGCATTAATTAGAGTAGGCTAGAACTGCAGTAACAGATTAAAATACTAAATGGATCAATAAATATATAGTTTATTTCTTGCTCACCTAAGAGTCCAGGAATCATATAGGTTTGTTAGTTCTGCTTTTCTAAAACTTGATTTTCATGTTACCTGGCAGATTGTCATTCAGGTGGCCAGAAAGGGAAAAGAATATGGAGAAAGTACACTAGCTTAAGAGCTTTGGCCTGGAAGTGACACAGGTCACTTCCACTAACATGCCACTCACAACTTGTTGGCTGGGTACCCTGGACAATTGATATTGAAAAATAAGAAATTAGATTGAGATGGACAGATATTCATTTTTACCACAGGAGGTTATCGATATTGAGTTCAATAATAGCCTAAATTGATTGCATATAAGAGGGTATTTTTTATTGTTAAATAGGGACCAATGGGTCAGTATATATTTAAGTGAGTACCCTTGGCATTTGTACACACATATATATCCTTGGGTGTCCTTTTATTTTTTTTTTAAGTGAGAAGATATGCCTAAGGCAATTACCAATGAAAATAAACATAAAATTATATAAGTTCATTTTTTCCACCTGCTAAAGGCTCTTTAATAACCACTCATGTCTAATCATTCTTAAATGAAGAGTAAAGAGAATTGTAATGTTAGAAGAGTTTACTGTTCATCAGAAATGAGAAATTAATAGAATACTGTTCACACATTTATAATCAAAATGCAATGAGAACAGTTTTTGTTTTTATTGATGTCTTAAGCATCTAGGCCATTGGAAGACAAACTTTAGCAAGTAAGGACAAAAGGCACTTAGCAGCATTTGTTATCTTTGTAAACTGTCACTTTCTTTGTTAAAAAGACCTTCACAAAAGAAAGTAGCTTAGAAATCAGCTCTAAACCTACTTTATTCCAAAGATTGAGAAAATACAGAGATGGGACATAAATGTCAGATTTTGTTTGATAGGCTAAATAAAATAATGGTAATTTGTATGTTGCTATTTAAAAAAACACTTTTAAGGGGATGTACAGTGATCATTTTAACTATAAAATAATTTTGGCTATTGGATCATTTATATAGAACTAAATCACATCTAAAATGATATGGAATAAAGGACAAAATTTTACCCTATGCTGCACTATTTATGTTACCCAAATATTGTATTACTTTTACATCCTCTACAAGGTCAATAAATTGACAAACATATTGCCTCTCTAAGTGCTATATGAATAAAGGCTGTCTTTTTATCAGTGTATCACTTGTAATGGTTTGCTAAATCCACCATATACTTTTAGTTCCCACACTGGAAGCCTAAATGTGAAAAACACACACCAACAATGGGAGAGTTTAGCTTGCTCTTCCTTTGTCTATATATTTCTCAGTCACTTAAGTACTTCTAGATCACAGAAAGTTGAAATCACTAAATTATCATGCTGCTTGAATTTTCTTTGCAAAATATATGAAGGTCCCATGATTTGTTTGAATGTTTAGAGTGCATATAGAGAACAGATATGATGATTATTGAAGCTTTAACCTTGAAATGACTAAAAGATATTTTAACGGACTTTGACATAGGAAGAAGTTGATTTGGACAACAACCTTCTTTCAGATATTCAAACCATATGTTGATTATTATGGGATCACAAAAGTTTCACAATTTTTGTAATGCTAAAATATCTTCAGCTAATAATAATGAACTATAACTGAGCCACGTATGTAGTTCCAAAAGGTAAAAGGCTGTTATACAACTGGACAATGGTATTAGATTCCCTCACTTGAGCTGTCTGAATAGACGTGTAACATTCACCATTACTTGTAAGTCTTTTTAGCTACATAGAATCCACAGTGCATGAAAGTTAGATTTGAAAAGATAAAATTTTGATATTCTTTCATTGTAATGTAGATATACAATAAGCAGATCACTTCAAACAATTAATTTTTGAATGTCTTTATTGGCAGTTGAGTATTTGAGAAACAAAAATTAGTAATATCAAGATGAGAGAGAGGAATGCACCTCTCTGTTGTTTGCAATTGAACAATGCAACAATTTTCCACATGAAAATGACTATATGTAAGATTGAATTCATAGTTTAGGCTGAAAAAAAAAGAATTTTCCATTGAATGAATTGTAGTAAATAAAATCTTTTTGGGTTTTTATGTTGATGCTTTACTAGATATCAAAATGATTTGTATATATCACCTACTTTTTAAGCAATGTTTATTTTAGTTTCTATGGGTACATTTTTAAAATAAAATTTCCTACAAACTGAATGAACAAAGTAACACATGAAAAATTAAAATATAAAGAGAATATTGTTCTTTAGGGCCCACTACTTTCAACTTAATTCAAAGAAGAGGTATATACTGCTGTATTTGTATTAGAAAATAATTTAATAGTGAAATATTACTTTCAAAAGTATGTATCTAATTAACTTTCACAGTTCTCTGTGCTTTTACAGACTATTTACAAAATATTATATAATCATACCTACAGCCCTCTTGAAGTTGTTTGTGTGGCAATGAATTGCATAACATAAAAAGAAACATAAATAGAGCAATACTGATAAATATAAGCTACGAGGAGAAGCATCTAGGATTAACAAAGTTCAGAAGAAAATAAGATTGAGAAAGATGAATCTTTCAGTCACTCTGAGTTTTAGACCTCACCCAAAGGCAGGTGAATTAACTATGTTTACTATTAATAGATTTTTAAATTCATTTTATCTACTAATTTACATAGGTTTACATAAATTATAAGCATGTGTAGTAGGAAGAGCATGAGGATTGCAATAGGACAACATTAAGTTGAAATTGTGATATTAAAGATCTGAGTAATCTTGAGAACATTACTTAAATTCCCTGGGCCTAGTTTTCCTCTTCTACAGAGTGATATATTTTGTCTTCTAAGACAGTGTACTTTTGAAAGTGAGAATGGGATACTAAAACAAATTAAGATTATAATATTTTTGAAATACTTATTTGGTGACTAATGACATATATATATATTTAATGTTGAACTTAGAATATATTTTATTTATTTATAGTTTATAGTTTATTTATAAAATATAGTTTAATCAAAATATTTTTTCTTAATTTTAGATATTTTCTAAATTTTTTGAAATTCACAAACACTAAAATTTAATGCTTTTTATTTTTATTTATTATTTTTTAAATTATTATGTTATGTTAATCACCATACATTACATCATTAGTTTTTGATGTAGTATTCCATGATTCATTGTTTGCGTATAACACCCAGTGCTCCATGCAGTATGTGCCCTCTTTAATACCCATCACCAGACTAACCCATCCCCCCACCCGCCTCCCCTCTAGTACCCTCAGTTTGTTTCTCAGAGTCCATAGTCTCTCATGGTTCGTCTCCCCCTCCGATTTCTGCCCCCCTATTCTAACCTTCCTGCTTTCTTCTTCTTCTTTTTGATTTTTATTTTTAAGATATAATGTATTATTCATTTCAGAGCTACAGGTCTGTGATTCAACAATCTTACACAATTCACAGTGCTCACCATAGGACATACCCTCCCCAATGTCTATCACCCAGCCACCCCATCCCTCCCACCCCCCACCACTCCAGCAACATTCAGTTTGTTTCCTGAGATTAAGAATTCCTCACATCAGTGAGGTCATATGATACATGTCTTTCCCTGATTGACTTATTTTGCTCAGCATAATACCCTCCAGTTCCATCCATGTCGTTGCAAATGGCAAGATTACATTCCCTTTGATGGCTGCATAATATTCCATTGTATATATATACCACTTCTTCTTTACCCATTCATCTGTTGATGAACATCTTGGCTCTTTCCATAGTTTGGCTATTGTGGACATTGCTGCTATAAACATCGGGGTGCATGTACCCCTTCGGATCCCTACATTTGTATCTTTGGGGTAAATACCCAGTAGTGCCATTGCTGGATCATATGGTAGATCTATTTTCAACTTTTTGAGGAACCGCCATACTGTTTTCCAGAGTGACTGCACCAGCTTGCATTCCCACCAACACTGTAGGATGGTTCCCCTTTCTCTGTATCCCCACCAACATCTGTCATTTCCTGACTTGTTAATTTTAGCCATTCAGACTGGTGTGAGCTGGTATCTGATTGAGGTTTTGATTTGGATTTCCCTGATGCCGAGCGATGTTGAGCACTTTTTCATGTGTCTGTTGGCCATTTGGATGTCTTCTTTGGAAAAATGTCTGTTCATGTCT